ACATCACACATAACTCAAACAACGACCACAACACACAACACATACAACCCACAACACACACAACACACACAACACACACAGCACACACAATACACAATACACACAACACACAACACACACCACACGATACATTCAACACACAGCACACATCACACAGCACACACACAATTCACACTACCCACAGCACGCACAACACACACAACACACACAGAACGCAAACCACACCACACACAACGCACACAACACACACACAACACACAAAATGCACCCACAACACACACCACACACAACACACAACACACACAGCTCACACACCACACAACACAACACGCACAGCGCACACAACACACGCAACACACAACACACAACACACACAACACATAGCACACAACACACACACACAACACGCAACACACACAACACACACAGCATGCCAAACACACAACACACAGCACAACACACAACCCACAACACACAATACACAACACACAACACACACACAAACTTCACACAACACACAGCCACACAACACACAACACACATAACACATTCAACATATAACACACACAACACAAAGCACACACACTTCACACAACATACACAACAAGACAACAAACAACACACATAACACTTTCAATTCACAACGCACAACACACAACGCACACAACACACGCAACACACGCAACACACGCAACACACACAACACACACAGTACACAACACACACACACACTTCACACAACACACGCACACAACACACACAGGTCACACAACGCACGCCACACAACACACACACAACGCACAACACACACCACACACAACACAGCATACACAACACATACAGCACGCACAACACACAAAACACACAACACGCACAGCACACACAACACACAACTAACAGCACACAGCACACACAACACACTCAACACATACAACACAGTCAGCACACACAACACAAAACAGACAACACACAACACACACATATAACACACCATACACAACACACATCACACACCACACACCACACACAACATGCACAACACACAACACACACAACACACAACACACAACGCACAACACACACACAACACAACACACACACAACACACAACACACACAACACACAACACACAACACACACAACACACAACTCACAACACACAACATACATTACACACAACACACACAACACACAGCACACACAACACACATAACACTTCTCAGAGGTCGCGAGGGCTTTGAGAAGTCTCGGCGCCTCCTGAGAAGGCCTTCTCTCCTTCTCATTCTCCCTCCCCGCCCGCCGCCGACCCTCTTCTTCCTCCTCCTCCCCCTCCTCCCTCCCTCCCTCCCTCCCTCCCTCCTCCTCATTTTTCCCCGTCGCTCGCCGCTGACTCTCTCTCGTGGCGAGGGCGCCCAGCACCGGCGGCGAGGGGGCCTCCTCCTGGCCGCCGGCGGCCGCCTCGCCGCCCCCCCTCCTGCTGGGCGCGGCAGCTCGGGAAAAAATCGGTGCGCCTGCACCCTCTGGGGAGGGGCTTCCCACATCGCCCCTGCACGGTCCAGTAGGGCCCCAGGAGGGGCCCGCAGACGGCCCAAGAGGGCCCCGAGACGGCCCAAGAGAGCTTCAAGTGACCTCCAAATCAGCCCCAACCGGGCCCCAGACACCGCCCGACCGGGCCCAAAGCGACCTCCGAAACGGCCCGAGACCCCAAGGCGGCCCCAAGACGCCTGGGGGACGGGGACCGCCCCGGGAGCTGCCGCGGTCTCCGCTCGCCCTGCTCCGAGGCTCCCCCCGCCAGCCCGGGCGTCGAGGGCGGCGAAGCCGCGCACAAGTCGGTTCTCCCTGCACCCCCGTGGAGGGGCCTGGGGACCACCTTGGAGCTGTTGCCCTTAGGGGAACGAACATCGGTATCGTTCAACCCATCCTCGTCCCCATTCCCATCCCCATCCCGATCCCCACCGTCCCACCACCCCGGTTGGGGATGTGCCCCTCGAAGCCCGAAGGGAGCCGCCTATATGCCCATCTCGGGGGTACATCGGCCAGTGGGGCCCAGGTCACGCCAATGGGGATAGGGATCGGTTAAACGATGCTCAGAACAATGACATGGACATGAAAACTCGGAGGTCCGCGCGGATTTCTCAGATCGGCGCTGGGGCCCCTTGGCGGCGCCTCCGGCGCCGCCCCTGGCGCGCTCCGCGCGCCAGGGAGGGGGGTCCAGCGCGGATCCAAGAAATCCGCGCGACCCTCCGAATTTTTATGTTTTGTTTTTTCGTTCCCATAGCTGTCTCCACTCGCCCTGCTCCGAGACCCTCGAGGTACAAGAGGTACTGATGGATCAAGGAGCGCTTTCCAAACGCTGCAGAGCGATGCAACAGACAATGCAGCACGAATTGAACGAGACCCACTGCCGCCCCCTGCTTCTTGTCGAGGACGAAGGAGACCGCGCAAACATAAGCTTTGGGAGCTCGGGGCGGATCTCTTGGATCTGCGCTGGGCCTCCTCCCTGGCCGCGTCTCTGGCGCCGCCCTGGGCGCGCTCCGCGCGCCAGGAGGGGGTACCAGCGCCGATCCAAGAAATTCCGCATGGAGCTCCGAAATGTTGTCTTTATGAAGCTTATTTTTATCCTACTACTGCGAACCTACTACCGCGAACCATCGCCGCCCCCTGCCTCTCAGAAACGCCCTTGTGGCCAAACGTTCGGCCACGGTCTGGCCGATCCATCGGGCTGTGAGTGATCCTCCTCGGGGGAACACGTCATCGTTTCCGTATTCGTTGTTTTGCCGATCGGCGCGGGTCCTCGCACCCCCCCTTCCCGTGGAGTAGGTCTTGACTGTTTTTTGGCGCCTGTTTCAAGCAGGTGGAGTCTCCCCCGCAGGACGCACTGCTGCAAACAAGTCGCATTAAGCAGTGGACCGGAGCCTGACCCCCCCTCCCCCCCCTTCCGCCCAATGTCGAAACTCCGAACAAGAAAACGTTCACCAGCTGGGGTTTCAAGAAGGAGACGAGGAGGCGAGGGGAGGCGGGCCTCTTGAGGCTCCCTTGTGTCAAGGCCCGCCACCCTTCCACCTCGGCCCGTTCGGTGGCAATGCTCTGAGCACCGAAGGCCGTCACGTGTGACGCCTTCAGTCTTTTTGCTTTTTGGGGAGATGTCGTGGAGCTCAATTGGGCCGCCTTGGTGACGTCTTGGGGGTCCCTTGGGGCCTTCTTTGGCAATCTAGGAGCCCTCTTGGGCCCTCTTGGGCCATCTTGGCCGTCGGTGTGGTCTCTCAGGACCGGCGAGGGGCCGTTCTGGGGCCCGTCTTGGGCCGACGCGGGGCCCTCTACCGTCTTGTGCCCCTCAGGAGTTCCTCTTGGGCCAGCTTGGGGCTCTCTTGGGTCCGTCCTGGGCCGTCTAGGGATCCTCTCGGGCCGTCTTGAGGCCGTCCTGGACGATTATTCTGCCAGTTTGGCTCATTTGCGGCCGTTTTTTGGCTATCCTGGAGGCCTCTAGGGCCGTGTTGAGCTCAAGGAAGCTTGGACAGGTGAAGAAGCCCAAATCTGTCAAAACGCAATGGGGAATACATGCCTCTTAGTGTTCGGGCCCGACTGGGGGTCCTCGTGCCCATCCCCGACTGTTTAGGGGCCCGCTTGAACCGTCAAGAGGTCATCCTGAGCCGTACTGGGGCCTTCTCGGGCTGTCTTGGAGTCATCTTGGGCCTCGGGAGCCCGGATCCATGCTTTTTTTTTGGATCGTGGCCTCGGGAACGCGGATGAATGGTTTTCTAATAGAGATCGTGGCATGGGGATTTCCAATGGAAAAAATTACGGAATCCCGACCGGGAAGCCTTTTGCATCTTTTCACGCCTCAACGCGCGGGGGGGCACGGTGGCGGATCCCAGAGGCTTGTGCCCTTTGCTGACCCCTTCAGCAGGAGTGCGCGGATGCATTGGAAAGAGTAGAACGGATGGTCGAATGCAAACAGTTGCGAGCGTGGAGCGCAAGCAGAGATTGATTGCATTTTGGAGATGGCATGTATGCAGAGGAAGCCGTGTGATGCAAGCTACGTGGTGTAACCTATGTGGAGCAAGCCGTGTGGTGCAAGCTACGTGACGTAGGCTGTGGTATGTAAGCTTCGTGGTGTGGGCTGTGCTGTGTAAGCTTTGCGGTGATGCCCACCTGCGTGGTGTGAGCTGTGTTGTGCAAGCAATGCGGTGTAAGCTATGCGGTGTGAGCCGTGTTGTGCAAGCTGTGTTCGCCACCCAGGGCACCAGGCGCCAAATAGGTGGACGCCCACGGGCGGGAGCGTAGGCGAAACCTTGGCGGACCCACCGAGGGCGCGGTGGCGTCCACGAGGCGTCCACGAGGCGTCCACGAGGCGCCCACTGGCGGGAACGTGCACGAAACCTCGGCGGAGCAGCCCAACTGTTCAGAGATCCAAGCAAGAACTCTGAAGTGCAAGCGCCGTCGTAGGAAACGGCCACAACCTCCTTGGCTGGTCCGCCTGGGCTGCTTGGGTCGTCGCTGAGCCTCTGAGAATTTGTGTGCATGTGGATGTTCGTATTCTTCTTATTATTATTATTATTCTTCTTCTTTTTCTTCTTATTCTTCTTCTAGATGAAAGGGGCAGTCGCGGGCTGATGCTGAGGAGCTCTCGGCGGTGGCAGCCCCTGACTGCGCCTCTGGCGCCGCCCCTGGTGCGCTCCGCGCGCCAGGAAGCGGGGTCCAGCGCCGATCCAGGAAATCCGGGCGGGCCTCCGAATGATTTGTGTACGCAGTTTCGTTGGTGATCTCCAGCAGTCATCCCGCGCGCCCTCTGAGTCCCTGCCCTTCTGGTAACCCTCGTGGGAGGAAAGGGTTCGCCCCCTTCCGCTCTTCCTCCTCCTCCTGCTCCTTCTTTTCCTGCTCCTCCTCCTCTTGCTCCTCCTGCTGCTGCTCCTCCTCCTCGTTGTCCTCCTCGTCCTCCTGCTGCTCCTCTTCTTTTTCCTCCTCCTCCTCCTCCTCCTCCTCCTCCGCGGGGGGCTGGCGGACATCTCTTGCAACCCCGAGACGCTGAGAGACGACCTGGCCGTGCTGTCCAGGACTTCCACGCCTCCCGAACGAGGTCCAAGCAGTTGGGGATCGCGCGGACCACCGCCGACACTGCATCGGTCAGTGCGGCTCGATGAGGAGCCCAATGTTTTCCACGCCGACGTCGGCGCGATCCTCCGACTCCAACTGCTAGGACCCAGTTTGGGGGAGGCCTCCGAAGGACGCACGACATCGTGCGCCTCGCTGCCTTCGACCAGTTCCCGTATGTGGGCCACTTGGAGATGGGCATCCTCCTGGTCGCGCGCGGGGGCGTGCTGCCGGCCGCACCAGGCGGTCGCGATTGAGCCCTCGGCCAGGCTCGCCGGAGGAGGAGGAGGAGGAGGAGGAGGAGGAGGAGGAGGAGGAGGAGGAGGAGGGAGGAGGAGGGAGGAGGAGGGAGGAGGAGGGAGGAGCCCTCCTCCTCCTCGCCCTCCTCCGCCGGGCCTCGCCTCTGCTCGCTCGCTCGCTCCCTCGAAGAAGAGGCAGCGGCATAACGCACACAAACGCTCCGTGGCACCGCTCGGACGTGCGCATTTGTTCGCGGCGAGGATCATCGAGGAGCATCCTGGACATCGAGGAGCATCGAGGATCATCGCGGATCATCGAGGATCATCGAGGATCATCGAGGAGGCGAGGATCATCGAGGATCATCGAGGATCATCGAGGATCATCGAGCATCGCGGCGAGGATCATCGAGGATCGTCGAGGAGCATCCTGGACCACCTGGCAAAACAGCTCGCGGCATGCACGTGGAATGGACGTCCGAGCGATGGCGAGGCTCGGAGCTCCGCGCGGATCTCTCGGGTTCGCGCTGGGGCCCGCCCTGGGCGCGCTCCGCACGCCAGGGAGCGGGGCCCCGGCGCCGATCCTGGAAATCCCCGCGGAGCTCCGACATCTTGTGCTCATGCCGATTGTTTTTCAAGACGCTACGTGTTCACCGCTCGCCCATCCCAGTTCGCGCTGGAAGGGACGAAGACGGTGCCAAGACGGAATGGCAGCATTCCGAAAGTAGTGAAAGATCCTCCACAGGTCCAAGGGGCGCCGTGAATGGCCGAAGAGAGCCCTGGAAAGGGCCCAAAGTGTTCCCAAGAAGGGCCTGATCGGAAACTGGAGCGTATACATTACCAGTGGCGGGCTGTTTTTCAATCCCAGGACTTTTTTGATGGTCCGGGGCGACGTCGGGGAGGTGTGGTGTATACTTTTTTCCCCGCTTTCCCGTGGAAGCAACGAAACATGTGTACACCAGGATGCCGTATACACCAGAATCCGTTTTCTTGCGCGAATCTCAGTGCGGGACCGAACAAAAGGCATCGGTGTATAGAGTTCGGTACCCTACCTGAGGCTGCCCAGGCGGGCGTCTGGACTGTTTTAGCGCGAGCATTCCCGTTGGGCCCGAGCCGCGTTCGCACTTCAAGCGAGGCCTGGCCCAGAGAGCTGGGCCGCCCAGCATCGGTCAAAGTCGCTGTGGAAGACTCAGGAGGGGAAAAAAACACACAGACACAATGAGTCGTCGATTCCCCAGAAAATATGGGAAAATATGGGAAGTGTGGGGGAAGACAAAAACCCAGAAAATATAGAAAAATATGGGGAATCCGATTATTTGTGTGTATTTTTGTGTGTGTGTATTTATTTGTGTGTCCCTGGGCCCCTTCAAAAACGCCCAACATCGGCGACGAAATTTACACGTTGGAGGTGGCCCAGGCGAGCTTTACTGTCGGCCATCACGAGGCGTCCGGGCGATCCCCAGCGAGGCACGGATCATGAACAACAGAGCGATGGGTCCTGCTATATTTCCCGTTCCTCTTCTTGCTGCGCTCCTCTGAAATCACTGCTGGGTGCTCTTCTTGCGCACTGCGGGTCCTCCACTGGAGTCCAGAATGCCAGTCAGCATTGAGTGGTCCTGACTATCATCGCCCCATGTATAGAAAGGGTCGGGTACGTCACAGAGTCCTTTTTTCTCAGGTTTCCGGTTCCTGCGCGCAGTTGGGCCCCAGAGACGCTTTGGAGGGCCCCAGGAGCTGGCTCTGCAGCCGGGCGGCGGAGTGGCGAAGACCTCTGGGGGGGAAGAAGGGGGGGGGGGGCTGAAGTCCTTTTGCGGAGCTCTCGCAGTCGAATCTCACACGCCCCTCAGTCTGGTGGGCGGGCGGATTTTCGAGGGGCTCGCGCCATTCCGCCGGCCCCCAGAACGAGTCAGGGCGTGCGACGATCTCGGAAGTTCTCTAGTGGCCTTCGGCCCCACCAGCGACTGTGCCTGGGTTGTGGGTCACGAGCCTCCTGGATGAATCTGAGGGTCTCTTGGGATGCCTCTCAGGGGCCTCTCGGAGGGCTCTTGAGTGCATCTGCGAGGCTTGTTTCGGCCTCTTGGGATTATTCTGGATGCAATTGGACTCGATGCGGTCTTGCTTGCGCCGGAGGCGGTACCAGAGCCGAAGCCAGAAAAGGCCGCGACGTCGGACATGAAATCGTACCCACTGGAGTCGAACGCACGTACAGATCTTCACGCGCATGCGTGGTATTCAAAAGTTTGGCGAACAAGCGTGGCTTTGGGTTCGGTTTCGCTGGCACAAGGTGTCGCTGGCATCTACAGAAGTCCCCACGGCTTCCAGAGCGCCCCTCGCGAGGCCAGAGGACCTCACGGGCTTCACACCTGCGCGAACAGTTGCGGGTCATTTGGGCCAGGGCCACCTGCAGCAACCACCGATGTGTGTTGGGTTTCTCCAGTTCGCACGCCGGCATATGGCCATAACCGGTAGGGTTAAATCGGGCCTGTCCCTCTACAGGGGGGATATTCAAAGATAGTGAAAAAATAGTGGGGGGACGATTTTTTGACTATTCCTGCCCATCTGGGGGATATTTTTCGAGTATTTCCAGTTTATCGTCCAAAATCCCCTGTAGGGGGACAGGCCCGACTTCACGGTAGGGCAGCGCCCCGACACGCAGCCACATCGCGGCGTTCTTGGGCCTGGGGGGAGGCGCTCCGGCCTGTGGTCTCGCACAGCTGATGTCAAAGCAGAGTTGGCAAGCGTGCCCAATCATTAGACGAGCGCGTTCCACCACTCGCAAAGGAACTACTCGCAAATAGCCTGGATACGCCGCGGGGGATCTGCGAGAAATTACATCAAAGCCGACATGTGTTTTTCGGACGTCTGCGAGCAGGCACTTTGCGAGCAGTGGAACGCGCTCGGCGAAGAATGCCAAACAGGAGTCGTTGCACAGACGCGTCAAACATGCCCAAGCTCCAAGCTTCAAGCTCCAAGGACATCCACACCGAAAGCATCGTTGAATCCCCCCGTGATAAGCTTGCACGTCGGAAGCGTACCCGACAGTGCAACATGCAAAATGGCGTTCGTGCGGTCGCCAGCGACGCTGATCACACCCCACACACGGCAGTGGATAATCTTTTTCGTATTTTGCGATAGCACCAGTTTCCCGTTCCAATTTCCGCAGTCAGCCAAACATCGGGAGCCTCCCCCAAAGGCTGCTGTAGATACGTATTGTCGACGTTCCTTCCCATTTCCCAATCCGTGCCGTGCCGCTCCCGTGCCCCCCACTCGTATTTGCACCAGACATGCCACACGACGCACTGTGGGATCACCCGATTCGAGGTATTTTTGTCGACGATTTCTGTTTTTCTGGACTACTCTGGCTTTTGTCTTCAAAACTCGCCTGTAGGAGGACATGCCCGACCCAACCTCACTGCCGCTGGCAAAGGAAGTCTGGTGCGGACCTTGGTGGGCGGGATGGCTCCACGGCGCTTTGGCGCCCGCCCTGCGCAGAAGAACAGACTGCCCGTTTCGCCCTGGCTGCTCGGGAGGTCGAGGCATGCCTTGTGCACGGCCTCGGACCGGGCCTCGCAGAGGAGCCCGGGGGGCTGCGACCGTGATGCCGCTTCTGCCCATGACCGCTGCATGGCGGAGGCCCGCGAGCGCATCTGCGAGCTCCTTCTCGGTGAATGTTCTGCGGGCGTTGCCACATGGCCGCGGTGAGTCGTGCTGCACGTTCAAGTGGTGCGGATTTCCGCACCGCCGTGCAGCGCGGAACTCGACCTCGATCCGGGAAACCCAGTTTGGTGGTCGATAGCCTCACCGCCGCCTGGTTCTTGCCCGGTTCGGAGCGGCAAGGGCTTCCGTGCCTTCTGGTTCTCACCCTGCCGTCGCTCTGTCCGCTGTGCTCGGCGAGTCGGTCCAAGCGCAGTGCTCTCGGGCCCGGAGCTGGGCGACCCACGCCGTGAGGTCAGCTCTGGGGTGGACCTAACCCCCATGAGGCCACGTCGATTCGTGAAAACGCCCTCGGGCCCAAGGCTGGCGTGCGCAATCCTGGAAGACGACGGCCGCGGCGCCCGCGGCGATAAGAGAATTCTAGACGCTTCGCGTATCCCCACCAGCCCGTCCAGAAATGAGCCCCAGGGGAGTGGAGGTGATGAGGGAAGCGGGGGAGCATGCAGAAGAACAAAGAGCGGGTTGAGCCGCCATACGCCCCAAGAGGGGGAGGATGTAGGAGGAGTCGTCGTCGTCGGAGTAGGAGGAGGAAGACGAGGAGCAGGAGGAGGAGCAGGAGGAGGAGGGGGAGGAGGAGGAGGAGGAGGAGGAGGAGGAAGATGAGGAGGAGGAGATGGAGGAGGGCGAGGACGAGGAGGACGAGAAGGAGGAGGAGGAGGAGGAGAAGGAGGAGGCGGAGGAGGGGGAGGGGGAGGAGGGAGGAGGGAGAAAAAGAGGAGGAGGAGGAGGACAATGGCGAGCTTGGGGGCCTCTTGGGCCGTCTTTGGGGCCTCTTGGCGGTTCGGAGGCCTCTTGCGTATCTCGGGGAGCTTCTTGTGGCCTTTTGGGAGTCTCTTGGAGGCCTCTTGGAGGCCTCTTGGGGGCCTCTTGGGGCCTCTTGGGGCGCTCTTGGGGCGCTCTTGGGAGCTTTCGGGGCGCTCTTGGGGCCATCTTGGAGGAGATCTATCAAAGAAGGGGGGGTTGCTTATTAGCGTTGCCCCTCTAGAGTGCCTCGAATCGCCTCTTGGGCCTTCCTAGAGGCCAAATTCCGTCCAAAACCTAAGGAAAATCAATGTTTTTTGCTTTCTCGCCTTTTCGCTCTTGGAGCCGTCTTGGGCCATCTTGGGAGCATATTTAGGCCTCTTGGGGATCTCTTGGGAGCCTCTTGGGGGCATCTTGGGGGCCTCTTGGGGCCTCTTGGGGCCTTCTTGGGGCGCTCTTGGGGCGCTCTTGGGGCAATCTTGGAGCGCTCCTGGGCGCTCTTGGGGCCGTCTTGGAGCTCTCTTGGGCTTCTCTTGGTGCCTTCTTGGGCCATCTTGGAGCCATCTTCAGGCCTCGGATGGCCATCGGAAGCGAAAAAGCGAGAAAGCCAAAAACGTTGATTTGCAGAGTTTTGGATGGATTTTGGCATCTTGGGAGTCTCTTGGGATCATCCTGGAAGCCTCTGGGGCGCTTCTTGGAGCCTCTTGGGGCCCCTCTTGGGGCGAGCGGGGGAGCATGCAGAAGAACAAAGGGCGGGGTGAGCCGCCATATCCCCCAAGAGGGGGAGGATGTAGGAGGAGCCGTCGTCGTCGGAGTAGGAGGAGGAAGAGGAGGAGTAGGAGGAGGAGCGCGAGGAGGAGCAAGCGGAGGAGGAGAAGGAGGATAAGGAGGAGGATATGGAGGACTGCGAGGACGAGGAGGACGAGAAGGAGGAAAAGGAAAAGGAGGAGGAGGAGGAGGAGGAGGAGGAGGGGGAGGGGGAGGAGGGAGGAGGAAGAAAAAGAGGAGGAGGAGGAGGACAATGGCGAGCTTGGGGGCCTCTTGGGCCGTCTTTGGGGCCTCTTGGCGGTCCCGGGGGCCTCTTGCGTATCTCGGGGAGCCTCTTGCGGCCTCTTGGGGGTCTCTTGGGGGCCTCTTGGAGGCCTCTTGGGAGCCTTTTGGGGCCTCTTGGGGCCCTCTTGGGACGCTCTTGGGGCGCTCTTGGGAGCCTTCGAGGCGCTCTTGGGGCCATCTTGGAGGAGATCTATCAAAGAAGGGGGGGTCCCCAATTAGCGCTGCCCCTCTAGAGTGCCTCGAGTCGCCTCTTGGGCTCCCCAAGAGGCCAAAATCCTTACAAAACCTATGGAAAATCAATGTTTTTTGCTTTCTCGCATTTTCGCTCTTGGAGCCTTCTTGGGCCATCTTGGGAGCCTCTTGGGGCCTCTTGGGGGTCTCTTGGGAGCCTTTTGGAGGCCTCTTGGGCGCCTCTTGGCGTCTCTTGGAGCCTCTTGGGGTTCTCTTGGGGCGCTCTTGGGGCGCTCTTGGGTGCCTTCGGGGTGCTCATGGCGCCATCTTGGAGGAGATCTATCAAAGAAGGGTGGAGCTTTAATTAGCCCCGCCCCTCTAGAGTGCCTCGAGTCGCCTCTTGGGCCCCCCCCCAAGAAGCCAAAACCCGTCCAAAACCTACAGAAAATCATTGTTTTTTGCTTTCTCGCCTTTTCGCTCTTGGAGCCGTCTTGGGCCATATTGGATTCTCTTGGGGCCTCT